CCAACATTTTGTTGAGCTTTTGCTGGATTTTGATATCTGGGCTTGCGTGGCTGACAAAAACCATTTTTGTGACCGATGATCTTGCACTTGCTGCAACGATGATTTTTGTATGGACAAGACTTTACAAAGTGCCACGCGCCACAATGCCAGCATGGTGATGGTGGGGTCTTCTTTGCAGTATTTTGTGAAGTTGGACGAGTATCTGTAGATTTCCGCGGGACATTAGAAGAAGGTGGGTCAGGAGTAGCTGATGAGAGATTTTTGCTCTTGCGTAATGCACGAATATCAGAGCTTCTCGAAGGTGTTGATTCGACCAGGTGTGTGTCTTTCTGCAGATTAATCAGCCGTTGATATTCATCAGCTATGTCATGTAATGTTAACTTGGGATTTTGTTCTAGCTGATTGAGCAGTCGAGTTCGGATATCTGTGAAACGAGGAGATTGGAGACTGCATATGAGAATCAAGGCTTTGAACTGATCATCTGTTAAGGACCTGAGTCGAAATCTCTCACATTCTCGGTTGACTGTGCCAACGTGAGTAAGAAAATCATCATTTTCATTCATTGCCAGCTTGAGGCAACGATAACGTATACTGAATAATGAGGAGTGGTCTCCGAAATGTTCACGCAGCAACTTTATTGTATCATCGAAACAATTGTCACGTGGTTTCTGTGGTAAAATTAGGTTGCAGTACCGTTCATATTCTGCCGGACCCAATTTACGTAGCAAAACTCGCACCTTCCAGGCATCGTCTTGTGAGGCGAGATCAACAGTGAATAAATCCTCATAACGTTGATACCATGTGTCAAAAGTGACATTAGCCTCTGGGTCATAATTGAACTGTGAAATACTGTTCACAATTCCGTCGACAGATGGTAGCATGGTATGATTGGGATTGCTTGAAGGTGGAGCTGGACCAGTCTGTTGGTTGACGAACATTTCCATTAATTTCATTTGTCGTTCAAACAATAATTCCAATTTAATAGGATCCATAGTAAATTGTTATGTTGTTGCTGCTGTGTGGTTAATAGTAGTTTTTCCCCGTCGCCAAATTGTTATGTACTAGTTTTCCCCGTCGCCAAATTGTTATGTACTCGTCGCTGAATTATTGTTATGGACTGGTCGAGAAACTAATAGTCCTGACGCGAGAAGGCGGAAATCAGAAGACCACTAGGTTTGCGATGATACTTCTATTGTCCAAACACAAGGAGACGAAAATAAATGGTCTCACACCAAAGTGGTAAGTAAGTAAAGTAGTTGTAAAGTAAAGTAGTTCACACAAATTGTGAATGCGAATATATATAAATAATTCAGACAAGCGTGGGAAAAATCATTAGACAGTCTTAACATGAATGGCTAATTATAATGGAGTGTCGATCCAATTATACATAGCGAATATAGCAGACATGCCAACAAACATATATGGATATATGTCACCAAGCAACGGACTGTCAACAAACACTCATATTATATATAATATAATATAAGGAGAATACACATTATTAAAGGAGACAAGTCCATACAAGTGAAGTGGTCACAGACTAACCGAGCAAACAGAAAGAGAGACCAACATGCACACACACACATAAATATATATATGTGGATACATATCATTTAAAAACTTCGAAAAAAGTATACATTATCAATATTTATTAATTTTTCGAGTGTGTACATTTAATTATTTATTTTCTTATAGGTAGACATTATTTTCATTTCATCAAATGAAATTGATACATTGAACTTAATTTACCCAGCAGTTATGAACCCTACCTCTTCCCTGTTCTTTTGATTAACTTTATGTCTTGTGTTCACAAAATTAATTGTAACATGATGTCGACGATGTGTATTTATCTTCAGATATTTCTTGACGTTCGCATACATCAAATATCATACGTTAATTGAATATAAGTTACTCTGAAAAATTCACTATGAAACACATGGCAAGCAGAGTAAAGTAGAATTCTTCGATATCTGTTATCAAGAGGCCTCCCTTTCTCCCTGTCCCTCTCTCTCGCTATATATATATATATATATGACTGGAGTTCCACGGTGATGTAGCACGTAATCTAATAGCCGACTCGATGGAAACATCGATTGGAAGAATTTATATCACCGACAGTTTGCATCTCACATTTTTTAGATGACAGGTCGTGATTCAGAGACTCAAAGACGAAGTACGTAGGCTTGCTGCCTGCTTTTGTATATGTCAGTTGAACTGCTCCTCTGAAGCCAGGTATATAGACCGGCAGCTTTAGGAAGGTAATTGTTCGTGCTCAGAAGCACCTACTACTTTAAGTCAATAAATGTGGGGTGAAAACCATCAACAGTCCATAACATTAGACATAGTTGTCCAAAAAGATTATAAGACTATCACTAAATGGTCATTTTCTACCATCTATGAGGTATCAAATAAATTTACAAAGGCCTCTAAATACGGAACACTTCTAACCCCAAAAGTCATGCGGAATCACTTAAACACATCCGAAGCTCCGAGTGCAGAAGAAACTTGTCCAGCCATTATTGCTACCTTGGCTTCTATGGAAGCTATAAAGTCATAAACTCTATAATATTTCTTAATCTATCTGATATTCAGTTTAGTGTTGTAGCAATATACATTATCGCTTACACCTCAATTCCATTGATCTTATTGATTCAATGGAAGAAAAACAGATTAAACAATGGGCGGACCACTTCAAAGGACTCTTGAACCGACCATCACCTGCAACCCGTCTAGAAATACCAACAACAGCGCGCACACAACCGCAAGTTGACACCAATCCTCCAACGAGAGCTGAAGTCTCTAATGCAATCAAGCTTCTGAAAGCTGGAAAAGCAGCTGGACCAGATGGAATACCCCCTGAAGCACTGAAAGCGGACCCAGAGACTACATCAGACATGCTGACTCCATTATTGCAAAAATTCTGGAAGGAGGGAAAGGTGCCTACTGACTGGAGGAAAGGTTACCTCGTGAAACTACCAAAGAAGAGCGACTTAGGACTCCTCAAGAACTGGCGAGGAATCATGCTCCTATCGACGCCAAGTAAAATCCTGAGTCGCATCATCCTGGAGAGATTAAAGGATGCACTGGAGACAGAACTCCGACCAGGACAAGCTGGATTCAGGAAAGGCAAATCATGTACTGACCAAATTGCAACTCTACGCATCATCATCGAACAAAGCATGGAATGGCAATCAAACCTCTACCTCAACTTTATAGACTTTGAGAAGGCCTTCGACAGCGTTGATCGTGAAGTAATTTGGAAATTACTCGAGTACTATGGCGTACCCCAAATATTCATCAACCTTATTCAACAGCTGTACGACAACGGCACCTGCCAAGTGATCCACAACGGAAGACTCAGTGAGGCGTTTGGAGTAAACACAGGAGTCAGACAAGGGTGCTTACTATCACCAATGATATTCCTAATTGTGGTGGACTGGATTATGCGTCAGACTGTGGGAAACGAGGAGACTGGAATATCCTGTACAGACAGACGTGAAGAACCTAGAAGACCTGGATTTCGCGGATGACTTATGTTTGATGTCACTGCCACAAAATCGAAGACTTACAAGCAAAAACCGACAAACTGGTCGAAGAAGCAGCAAAGACAGGACTCCAGGTAAACATAGACAAGACGGAGGTTATGAAAATAACCAACCAACAACAGCAACAACATCCAACGTCAATCACCATCAACGGGAGGGATTTGAAAGAGGTTACTTCATTCACTTATCTAGGGAGCATTGTCTCAACTACAGGAGGAACAGACGAGGATGTCAAATCGAGAATCGGGAAGGCGAGAAATACATTCATCAACCTGAAATCAATCTGGAAATCTTCGTCACTCAGCATCACCAACAAAATTCGGTAGGATTTTCAATACAAACGTAAAGTCAGTTCTTCTATACGGATCAGAAACTTGACGGGCGGGTCACAAAGAATATTTCCAACAGCCTGTCGCAGACCTTTATTAACAACTGTCTTCGCTCAATACTGAAGATCAGATGGCCGGAAAGAATCACCAACAAGGAATTATGGGAACAAACAATGCAAGAACCAATCGCCCAACAAATATGCAGGAGAAAGTGGAGATGGATTGGACACTCACTCGCTGAGGGGGAAGGCCGCTGGGTGACATCGCGCGCGTCAGGCCATTGTTCGAGTGGAACCAGGCCGAAAGGGAAGTGGCGAGTGGGACGTCAGTGCAAGGGTGACATGGAGGAGATCATGTGAAGAGGAGTTGAAAGAATATGGATTAACATGGATGCAGGCGAAAAGTATAGCAGAAGACAGAAGAAAATGGAGACGTGCAGTTGAAGCCCTATGTTCCACTAGGAACCCAAGGGAGCAATAATAATAATATTGATTCAATGTAATTGGAAACAGTATTGTTGTCAATAACAATAGTTCTCTAATATCAGTAAAAAGTTTGAGCATTATGGATTAGATCAAATAAGGTATAATTATATTTTAATAGTTTACACACAATGACCAATAACAAAACTTATCATTGTGTGTAAACTATTAAAATATAATTATACTTTATTTAATAGTTCTCTAATTATTATAGACATTTAATTATAGGACCTGACGAAGAAGAGGGAGTTATCGAAACGAGTATTCTTTGTACACTAATCAGTCACTTGCAATGTATAAATACCTAGCTAATGACCAATGAGAATTTAGACTGTGATCAGCCAATCAAAGAAGAGGAATGATTGATAGGCTCTTTTTTGATTTTCTATCGGCTGTGAACTGTTCATTTGTTAGAATGTTCAGATACAATTTTAGCAAGTCCTTTTAAAATATCTTAAAAGACTTGAGGTAAATAACATGTATCAAACTACAAATGTACAGAGAAAATTTATGCGATTCAAGTTTAAATATGGATTAATATTAATAAAAATGTTAAAACTGTTATTATAGTAACCAAAATTATTTTAATGGACTTCTTATGTATTTTATTATGATTAACATACTGTTTGAAAATTTGGAAAGAAATGAAACAAGCACCGGTAATCTCCTGCAAACAATACTTACCCGGTAAGTATTTACATTTCCAATTTTCTTCTGTTGGGGCTGGGGGTGGGTGGGTCCCGTGTTTTAATGCTATTCAGCTTCACCTTATTTATGTTTTCGTTGGTTAGGAGTAGATCAGGAAAAGACTGAGACTGGAGTATACGGTTAGGGTCGGAGAGATATTACTTTTGATTAGGGATAGATTATACTTAGGGTTGTTCTAGCGATCTCAGTTCACTTTTAAGTACAAATGCTCATTCTAATGTAATTGATGTGTTGGCACCTGCTAACTGCCGGTTATTTAACTTTGATTCTCATAAAATTATGTAGTTCAGCATACAATAATTATTGAGTAATAGGGATTTTAAAAACAGTGCTCACCAACCATCTGAAGATGTGTGGAAACCCAGGAAATTCAAGAAGAAGAAGAAGTGTCTGTTGACCCACTGGTGAGCACTGTTGAAGAGTCATCAACTGGGATGAAAAAATTCTGTCCAGTTTTGACGGCTTCTGTAAATGACGTCATTTTTTGATGACATGTGCAATGAAGTTGGTCGTATTAGATGGTTGGGCTACTCAAGAAAGATCATATAATACTACGAAGAACATTGAGGGCTGTAAGTAGGGTCAGTGCTATCCCTTTGACTCAACTAAATGACACTGTTGTCAATAGGCATATGAATTCTTGTAAACACTTAGCTAAAGTTATCTTATCTGATAGTGAACATCCTCTTTATTCACAATTGTTTCCTTGTATCTCTTCGGGTAAGACCAGAAGAAATTTTATAAACATTTATGCTCGTACTACAAAATATAAAAATTCGACCGTTCCATATTTGGCACGAGTATTGTGTGAAGAGACAAATATCAGAAAAGGACTTTTACAACTTTTGAATCAGTAACTAAACTATAAAATGTAATGATGCATATTAATGCAAGTGTTATTTGTTATATTATTTATTTATTATTCACTATGACCTAGAAATGGTATGATTTTGTTGGGTTTTTTATTTTTATTTATTTTTTTATTATTTTTTCCTATTAACTATCAATATTTTAACATTTTATATATTTATATAATTATAAACAGAGCTAAACCATTGCAATATGTAAAAGAAACGCTGAAAATTCCATGCTGTAAATTGTTATTGTTGTGGAATAAAGTGATTATTATTATTATTATTATTATTGGAGGCAATCGGCAGGAAGTCTTGGACCTAGGTTTCGTGCTAGTTGGCACACATCATCACTCGTATTGATTTTTTCTCTTATTCCTTTGAGTTCCAAGGGCTTTGAAGCTCCAGTTGCGGTGAGAGTGTTGTTTCATTTTAATGGGGTAGGGTTGATAATATCATCCTGAACGCACCTTTTTTCCGGGTTAATTGTCAGCCAGCGAACAAGTCGAGGTTTAGGAGTGAATACGTCAGCCAGGAACTGGAACAAACCATGTGTGTGGTTGTCAAGTATTTTACAGTTGAACCATCGATACACAATATGATTAATATTACTATTTAATCTTTTGATAACCCATCAAAATCCTTCATTTATAAAGCCTTTGCATAAATATGATTCACCTGAGTCATCACAAGAAAGCGATTATGACAATTCGGATGTAACACATTAATAATAATAAGTTTATTATGAAACGCGTGTCAATGCATATTACAGAATTCTCGGGATGTTCTATTAGAAAGCAATTACTCCTTGTCTGTAGAATCTTCAAGTAAATTAATAATCAATAGTACCAGATCATTTGAAGCAATATGTTTCAATGCTTAGCACTGTAGGTTGAAACCTATTTAAAAATTAGGGCTAATTGGATGATTCAAACAATAGCCAAATGAAGTGAATGAGAAGCATTTTAATCTACTGAAAATCAGGTGGCCAAGTGATTTGAGCAGGTCACCAAGCGTCTCGTCTGGAAACCATCAGTTTCACAGAATTTTTATCTACCAAACAAATTAATAATAATTACTATAATTTCCGAGTGTTATATAGCATGGATTTGATGGATTTCTAGTTCAACGTCGGTTTGGTATCAGTTAGAGAACCACTGAAAATCAACGAGGAGTACTGGACATTTTTCTCATCCTAGATATTTGAACTCTTCAGTAGTGCGAACAAGATACACCCGTCAATTTCAAACAAACTAACACTTTGAAGTTATTCTAATGTTCACTGGTGACGGATTTGGGTACAGTTCTAGTAAGACGTCGTGACCAGAAGTACTAATCAGGTCTTTTGAACTGTGCATCGGTAGCACAGCGGTTATGATTCTGGCTGATCATGCACATGGTCCGGGGTTTGATCCTGTGCCGACGTACACCTGATATCTATGGTTGGCCTGCAAAATTTGGGCTGCCGATATCACATACTGAAATTTTTCATACCTGTACCAAAAAATACGGTGTGGAATCAAGTTGTAATCAAAAATAAAAAAATTAAATAAAATAGTCGGGTTGGAGGACAAATACCTGCAGATGACATTAACTGGCGGTGGCACTAAAATTCGCAAATTGATAGAAGTTAGAATTCAGGGTCTGGCCTATGAATTATGTCTCAGTTGATAGAGGCTCAACGAGTTGGCTTTGTAAACTGAAACTCCTGGGTTTGATCCCCAGTGGAGTGATGGGTTTGTACTTCTGAGGAGAGAGAGAGAGATAGAGACAGGTAAAGATAGCGAGAGACAGGAAGGATAAGAGAAAGTAGAGCAACCTAGTAAAGAAAGAATAAGAAAGGGAAATAGGCAAATCGGTACCACTTGGTTTTCTTCCACATCCCTTCACATTCAAAGACACAAATTTGTGGAAAATTCAGCAGTATGATGCACACGCACTCACGAACATAAATACATACATACATGCATACACATACATCAAATAAAAATTTTGAACTGGATGGCGCCTACTAAATGATCATTTGGAATTTAAAAATACTATACTGGGGTTAATCACGATACTGGTCAAGAGGAGAAATTGATGATTTCTCATTGTGCGTGTACGTCGGTGGCATAGTGGTTGGGAATCTCGCCGACCATGCACATGGTCCGACGTTCGGTCCCCTGCCGACGCACACCTGATATCTATGGTCAGCCTACAAAATTTTGGTTACCGATATCGCATGCTGAAAATTCCATACTTGTACCAAAAATACAATATGGAATCAAGCTGTAAATCAAATAAATAAATAAATCTTTACATATTGTCCATCTTTTTGGAATTGCTTCTCTGCTCATCTTTATTACCCACATTGCTCACTGACGGTGTATTTTGACTTCAGGATTGGTTAGATTGGGTGTGTATGAAGCTGTAAAAGAACATGTCAGTTACGCATTACCGAACAGTACCGGTAAGCTCCAAAGCTAAGTCTAACACTTTCTGCCTCTGTTATCTACAGTTGTGCAAAAATATACTTAACTCGCTTATTTCAGAAGCACGTACCTTATTTCTTTTTAAGTTAATTTTTGTGTTCTCTTGATTGATTCGTTGATTTGTATTGAACATGTCGCTTCCCAGTACGCACAGTTCACAAGTATCTCAAGCTTAGTAATATCTTATTTGGATGATGATTACTAACAGTGTAATACAGGAGGTTAGAATTCTGTCCTGTTTACAGCTGACTTTTCAACTAGGTTTATCCACACTGCTTTTCAGTGATGGTATTTCCACTGTGACTAGGAACGGACATATCATCGGAAGTGGATCTTTTCAGTTGACTCAAGAGATGGTTGGTTCTCTTGGCCATGCAGCCTAGTAGGGAACATTTTGTCTTATGAAACAATGAGTGTTGGGTTCGGATTACAATGGGAACACCAACAGTCACTAAGGATTGCAAATTTATTAGGCTGAAGAGTCTTAAGTAAAACCAAATGCTCATCTTGGACTCACAGCTTGCCACCATTAACTGAATAACATTCCATTTAAAAAACTTTATACGTCTACATAATAAATATTTTCTGAGGTAAATACTGACAGATGACAGACAATTCGTATGCTTACAATGTATTCGAACTGTGTGTTTCCTATTTTTAGCAGCCGTATTAGTCGTTTAGTCCTTCTTGATCGTTATAAACTCACCACTAACTGTCATCCACCCAACCCATGGATCATTACCTCTTGATTAAAAAAACTTGACAACGGTGTCACAAAACTAATTAAAATGGTATTTTGTGTAATTATTTGGGAGGAAGTTGTATCAGTGCAAAAGTTTTTCTCTCTCAGTTTTCATCAGTAAGGTGTATTCAAAAGTTCCGGATTTCAGTGTTTAGATTATATCTCTTAAACATCAAGGGCGATTTTCTTAAATGTCTCTTAACTGCTCTGTTTGACAGCATTGAAAGGAGATTTTGAATCTTATCCACACCCTCTATAGTATTATTTTAACATCTCAGCGCCAAATTTAGTTTATCTTGATTACTCTCCCTTATTTTGATTGGCATTTACTATTGATGGTACATTTTGTTGTGTTTTGCTCGAATGGTGTTAGAGATCATAAAGCGTTGTTTCTTTAATCTCGGGAGTTTGCTGTACCGAATGTAGCGACCAAATATCGGAAGTATTTCAGTTCGAACACAGTAAAATCCAGTCAATACATTTTTTTTTGTATAGTTTGCCAAACTTTCCCGAGTGACGTACGCTCCAAAATTTGCATTTTAACCATATTATAAAAAGGATTTAATATGGTGAAATCTGTGGTACCATTCAACAATAATGAATCCCAACAAGGTAGGATTAAAACTTTGTCTGCAAAAATCAAACAAAACAAAACACTTTACCATTAGACGGCTCAAGGTCAAGCAGTGGCTTTGTGGAGTAAACCTGAACTCATTTAGACAAAATATCACCCATAGTAAAACAACACCGCATTGTCAGTATTCCGACACCACACAATAATAAAGTGAAGCATTAGGAAGGAGTGTCGACCAAAAAAGAGACAAAAAAATAAGGATTACGTCTAAAGATGAAATGAAACTGTTAGAACAGTAATATGCAGGTCATGGAAAAAGGGTAATAATTACGAAGTCA